TTTGAGGAACTGCTAATGTCCGATGAGAACTGAGCAACAGCAGCGTTGTTCTGGAAAGTGACCGCCTGTATTTCATTTGGGGAAATCACTAAATCGCATTTAAGCTCCTCACACACGCTTTTCAAAAAATCTGCGATAGATGAACTTGAAAGACATTTGTCTAATGTAAGAACATTTCTTACTTTTGTGTTTAATTCAGAGATAATGTTTTCCAGGAGTGGTTTTAATGGTTCTGAGTTTGCATATTTCTTTTCAATGTAACTAAGGATCCAGACTTCTGTATAATTCTTATATGATTAATAAATCATTTGATATTTCTGAAATGACATTTCCTTCAGCAGCTCCTTCATTAGAAAACTTTGAAAAAAGCTCTGGAGCAGAAAAGCATTTTGTCTGAACTTATTATGTCGGTCACCATTTCCTTTCCAAGATGCTTAAAAACATGGTCAGTTATTGCTGGTTTAAGACATCTCTCACAAATTCTTTGGCTTTGGTCTGACTCATGTCTTTTTCCTGAAATGTGTTGATAAATGTTTCTAAATACTGAGGCTTTACTTTCTCCAGACAAAGTTTTGGATCGTTCTCTATAATGAACTTGTCATGCATCTTCTGAAACTCTCGGGATGCTTTTCCAAGAATGTGCCGCTTGATACCCAACTCAAAATCTAAAGAGTAATGAAGACTTTTTCTCTGTTGGGAAAGCTCTTCATTGATCATGTGGAGTAATCCCTGGCAGTAGGTGACATTATAATCCTCCATGAGGTCCACCCTCTCTCGGACATAGGTGTCACACTGTCCTATTAGAGAGTCAGCAAATTCTTTTAACTTGTCATAAGGCTCATTTTTTCCTAACCCGAGTTTATTTAAGGCCCATGCGATATATCCAGTCTCAATATATTTTTTATGCATTGTGAAATTAGCTTGTACACCAAAGTTTAAATTTTTTATTTTCATTAATTCTTGATTTACAGCTGCTCCTTTGCTACCCATGTCATTTTGCAAGTGGTTAAGCAGAGATGTGCTGACATTGTGTTTTGTTAATTTCTCTATCTGTAGACCATCCAGTGTCCTTTCCCACATCCACTCAAATTCCTGATGTAGATCTTCATCACTCAGCTTCTGCTTTTTCTCTCGACACCTCTCAAGGAGATCAGTGATTTTAACTTCAATTGATTTCTGATAACTGCTCTGCATCTCCTGAATCTTAAATTTTCCTTTCCGGATAGAAACAGCCTCATCACACTTTATAAGAGCATTTCTTTGTAATTCTTTTCCCAGGGAATCTATGCTCAAAACAAAATCTTGTTTGTAACGTTCTATAAGATGAACCTTTTCATTTTTATTTTCAAAATAGCATTCTAGCAATTCTGACATCTTGTTTTTTTCATTATTTAACAAACTGTTGAGTTGCTGTATAAATCTTGAACGCAGTTCCTCATTTAAATTTTTTTCTGACTGATTCCTAATGTCTGTCTCCGTCTGATCATCCAATCATGGACGGCTTTTTGGAAATCCCATTCCCACTGTGAGAATTGTATACACAGTTTATTATAAGCTTCTGCCACCAGGCTGTTCCTGAAACTGAAGATGAATTTCTCATGTTTGACAGCGCTCCATAAACTTCCTATCCATGTTAAAAATTCAGGAATGTTTACAGGATTGTGCAGCGAGTCATTGCTTGACATGAATCCTAATAAATATTTTTTCAATTCATTTACATGCTCACTGTACCCAGAATTTACTGGAGCCATTGGTGGGACCCCAAGCCAGAGTCCAGGAATGTACCAGTTGTCTTTCTCCAGATTGTAATCCATCACATCACTGAAAATTTTGATCTCACTTTTCCTTTCCATCTCTGCAGCTACTTTTGTCATTTCATTCAGATGTTCCAGAAGTTTCTTCCTGTCTCTCATGTTCTTGTCATGAGCAGACACATCACTCACATTCTGATGTACAAACTGGCAGTTGGGTCTCTTTCCTATCTTTCATTCTAAGAAAAGCATGAACTATAATCTGTAAGATATCCTTCATTTCTGTTGTATTTTCCATTGACATATTGATTATAGTGATATCACTCAACCCAACCACTAGTGTGGCCAGTTCATTGTCATGTTCATAACTGCCCTCCAAGGAAGCCAACTCTGGAGCTTTCAGCCCCTCAGTGTCAATCACCAGGATGAAGTCACAGCCCAGCTCCTCCTGGAAGTTCTCTTTCACACTAAGAAGAGTCATGAAGGCTCCTCGTGTGCATCTTCCACTGGCCACCGGGAACTGCAGACCAAACATGGTGTTGAGAAGAGTGGATTTTCCTGTACTCTGCACTCCCAGCACAGTGATTACTCTCATTCTGCATTTTCCCCCTGTTTTGGTGTCCAGCTCCTTTAGAACATCAGTTATCCACTGTAGGGGAATGTTGGAGGCATCTCCATCTATTAGCTCCAATGGGAAACCATTCAACAAGAGATCGGCAGCAATTCCTGGCAGTCCAGCAATTGTCTTTTGCTTTTATGTATTTTGTTTTCTTTAGCCATGGAACATTCAGCTTCATAAAACTGTCCCATCTCACGTAGGAAATGTTCAATTCCTAAAGAACTGTCAGAGATTTTCTGGTCTATCTGTCTGAGTTCTTCCTTATTGATTAAGAGATTGTTACATTTTTCTTTGTAATAAGTTTGAAGATTAGAAAGATGATTTCTAGCAATTGAATCAAGTTCAAATTTCATCCATTTCAGAAAATATTGTTTCTCAATCTCAGACAAATGAGTGATTGCATCAATAAAGAGCATCAAACCATTGGGGCAGATCTTGGTTATATTGTTCCTCACGCAGTGAAATACGTTTCTTCATCAGTTCATCTTGATAATGTTGTGTGTCTTTACCACCTTGCTTTGTCATTCTGCAAAGTTCCTTTTCCACATTAGATAACTGTCTCCAGAGATCTCCCTGTAACTTCATAGTGATGTTCTTATACTCAGACACGTTTGTTATTTCTTCTGTAATTTTCCTGGCAAGTTCCCTGGCCTTCTGACATTCAGGAACTCTCTCATCCACTTGGATGTCCAATCCATGAGTTTCTTTCTCAAGGTCTCTCATATTATTTACTTGTGGCTTACTCTTTAAGAAAAAACAAACAATACTACTTTGTAATTTTTTTACAAAGGCTGCCTCATTCACTGTGCCTGCATGTATTATCACATTTGATTTTTTCATCTTTAGCACTGGCATTAGGTTTTCAAGGGTCTTCAGTTTCTGTGTGTTCACAGTTTTGCCAGGACTGGGAGTAACAATGAAGTAATACTGGGTGTCAGTGGTAGGGCAGGATGATAGCAATCTGAATTCTCTCTCAGAAATATCCTCAATGAATATAAACACAGCTGATGAAATTCTTGTCAGAAACATGAACTGGTCCCTGTTGGTCTCCAGGTCTCCTCGTAGGTTGGTCACTGTGATGGGTTCTGGGAAAACATCAGACTTACCACAGGAAAATACCAGGAAACTTCTACCAGTCCATCAGATATTTCCCTCTTAATGTTTCCTCCCTCCATATTGTCATGTATGAAGAAGTTATTATGTAGCTGAGGTGGATTAAGAACTTGGTTCAGGATTTTTGATTTGGATAATTTGTTTTTTCCAAGTCTGACAAATGAGAAGATTGGCATGGAAGTATTCACCACATTTTCTTCTCTGAACCCTTTACTGTCCGCTAATGACTGAGGTCTCCACTTCTTCACTATGTCTCTCATTGCCCAAAGCATGAGGGTGCAGTGTGACCCGTCACCAGAAGGGAGCAGCAGAGGGGCAGCAAACTGGCACATGGACAATTTGGTTACAATCTCTTGTTGCAGAAAACTGTCTGAGCAATGCAGGAGAAGACACAGGACATCCAGGGGGTTAATGGAGGCAGATGGATTATCACCTGGAACCAAAGAAGCATTCATTGATTTGTCATCATTATCACAATTTTCATTTACATTTACATCAGTAGACTGATCTTTCTCAACAAGAATGTCTCTTGCAGTCCTATTTAGTGCCATGAGTTTTCTTAAGTAATTCCAGGGAAGATCCTCTATAGTTGTAGATGTTTTGTCATGCATATTCTCTAAGCCAATACTCAGGATATCCCTTAGAGTCAATTTTGAAGTCAGGTAATGTTCCATATTCATTCCTATTGCAAGCTGATGTAAGTTTCTTTTTCCTGAAGGAAGTTCTGTAAGAAAAGACATTTTTAATTTTTTTTAATGTCTCTATTTTAATTGGTCTACAAGTAAAATTTAAATCATCTGGAAAACACGGCATAATCAAAAGCACTACTAGAACCATAACAGGCCATGCAAGGGCAGGAGGGCTTGTTTTATGTATGAATAGAGATAGATGAAAATGTTCAAGTGTTATATTCCTCAGTGGCAGTGAATATACATCTGATTTCCGGCTTCGGGGATGTGAAATGCTTTCTATTTCTCTGTGTATTTATCTAACTATCCTAGCCAGCTTAGTTCTGGCTGAGCACAAGAAAGAAACCCCTTCCCTAGAGTACCCGGCCCAGACCGAGGACATCACTTTGTTCAAGTAGAAAGTTGAGCCTTGCAGTAGTCCTGTCTCCACTGGAAGTCCATTAAGTGCCATATTCAGACTGAAGGCCCCCAACTTGTGTTCAAATCACACATGATAAAGCCTATAATTGGGGCTTACTGTATATAAATGCATTATAAACGTCCTTACCTTTGTCCACCATTGTGAAAGGAGTTTACCTAGGGGCAAATTATAGACCATGTTTAACCCCTCCCCTACAGGGCACTTATACCCCCTTCCTGTCCAGGCCAATTTTCAGCTTTTAGCGCTGTCACACTTTGAATGACAATTGCGCGGTCATGAAACACTGTACTCATATGAAATTTTTATTATTTTTTTGAGACAGATAGAGTTTTCTTTTGGTGTTTTTTTATTTTTTGCTAAACAAACCAAAAACAACTGAACATTTTGAAAAAAAAGCTTAGTTTCTGTTATAAAATTTTGTAAATAAGTGATTTTCCTTCACTAATGTACGCTAATGAGGCTGCAGTGATGGGCACTGATAGGCTGCTCTGATGGGCACTGATAGGTGGCACTGATGGGCACTGATGAGGAGGCACTGGTAGCTGGCACTGATGAGCATTGATGGGCATCACCAATGTGCACTGAGAAGCAGCACTCATATATGGCACTGATAGGCGGCACTGATAGGTGGCACTGACTGGCACTGATAGGCGGCACTGACTGTCACTGTTAGGGGGCACTGACTGGCACTGATAGGCGGCACTGACCGACACTGATAGGCGGCACTGATGCGCACTGATAGGCAGCACTGACTGGCACTGATAGGTGGCACTGAAAGGCAGCTCAGGTGGGCACTGATATGTGGCATTGATGTGCACTGGTAGGCACTGATATGTGGCATTGATGTGGCACTTATGGGCACTGGCAGGTGGCACTGATGAGCACTGACAGCTGGCATTGATGGACACTGACAGGTGGAACTGCTGGGGCTACACTGATCATCAGGGCACTGGCACTGGTGATAGGTGGCACTGATAGGTGGCACTGATGGGTGACACTGAAAGGCAGCTCAGATGGGCACTGATATGTGGCACTGATGTGCACTGGCAGGCACTGGCATGTGGCACTGTTCAGCACTGACAGCTGGCACTGATGGACACTGACAGGTGGCACTTCTGGGGCCACACTGATCATCAGTGCCCTGATGATCAGTGTAGATGTCCCCTCCGAGGAATGCCGATTACCGGCTCTCCTCTCCTCTCCTCTGTCAGTGTGACAGCTCGAGAGGAGAGAAATGCAGATAACCGGCATTTCCTTATTTTAGATGCGATCAGCTGTGATTGGACACAGCTGATCACATGACCGAACCAATGTCTTCGGCCCTTTCTGTTGATTGGTGATCCGCTGTGTCCGAGGAACAGAGCACACCGCCGAAACCACACTGCACACTCCCGGAGCCATACACACACGCGGTTAGAGTGGGAGGACATCATATGACGTCCACCCAGAACGAGAGAACCGCCTTGCGCCCCTCATTACCTTATATTGCGGGGGGGAGGCGGTTATGATACAAAATATCAAAAAACAAGCATGTTTTCAAACAGCTGCTATTAAAATATGCTATTTATTTGTTATTGTAGCTCCTTCACAGTCAGGTGCTAGGATGTGTATAGTTCGAATCAGGGGTGGACTAACCATTTGGAAACTTGGGCACTGCCCAAGGGCCCGGGGTCAGTAGGGGGCCCCATGCGATGCCCCTGGTACCTTTTTCATAGGCTTTTTTGAGTGTGGGCAAGGACACAGGGGCCCCATGATCCCCTATTTCCCGGGGGCCCCATGAGTTGTCAGTCCGCCCCTGGTTAGAATAGCATAGATGTGTTTCTCTGCTTACCAGAGAGATTGTTAGGGAAATCTAATTGGGTTCTCTGCTTAACAGAGTGCTGTGACGGATTCGTTAGGTCAGCTCATGATGCTCTGGTGACGTTTGAGAGCCTTCCAGAACATGGGTTGGGGCTAGGCAAATGAACAGCATGAATATGGATAAAGCCAATTGCAGGGGTGGGTGACCCCATTGCATGTTGGGATTGGTATTTATATTCTATGGGAACAAGGGTTCTGTGACTTTCCTGAGAGAGGATTACATCAAGCCAGGCTGAAGGCAGGCTTGCTTCGCCTCGCATTTGCTGCCATGTGGGCCTCTGGTGGGCGACTGGAGGGCATGAAGTTAGAGAGTGGCCCTGGTCCTACAGTAAGCTGACTGAGGGGGGCTGTCTGCCAAAGATCTATCTGGTATCACTGGAGAGAAAGTCGCTTGGAAGATTGTAAGGAGGTTGCCATTCTATCCTTGGGCCTTGTGAGTACTGACACTTAGAGATTTTGTGTGCTTTGCTACCTCTCTGGTGCTTGATAGTCAGTGTGGGTCTGAGAAAAGGAAACACTGGCTGGTGTTCTGAAGAGCTTGTCCAACGGGTGCTACTGCAAAGGACTTTGCTCAGCCACATTACCTTTTGGCTGTCGCAGTCTGTTGTAACTGGCTTGTACCTGGGGAGCTCAGCTCTGTAGCTACTACTACTGAAAAAAAGGACTTCGCTCACTCCTAAACTACTTCGTGCTACAATTCTAAGAGTCTGTTATCTGCTTTCAGCCAGGACTTCATCAGTGCTCAACAAAGAGACCCGCTAGATGTCCTCAGTGTGAATAGTTCTGATTTGTAGTGTCCAACTACATTCCCCATCCTTATCCCACAATAAAACTCCAAAAACAAACATTCCCTAGACTGGTCATTGAAGACAACGAGCAAGTATGTGTCAGGGATCCTGCCTCCGTGCAGACCTGTGCGACGGCGATGGATCCCCTCGGGCCATGGCGGTGCGAGTGTGCATGTGCAGGAGTGAGAGGGCGCGCATGTGCAGTAGCGTACACGTCACGCAAGGCAGGCTATTTAAACCTGCAATACAGTGTAATCAATGCCTTCTGGTCTATAACGTCTTCTGCACTCCATTACCTGATTCTGTTGCCTGAATCCTGATCTGACCTGACTAAGAAAGAACTCCGCCTGCACCGACCCCGGCTTATCTCTGACTATCCGCTTGTCTGCTCCCTTGTACTTGATTTGCTCATTTGATCCTGACCTTGCTTGTCTGACTCTGCTGCACCTACTTACCTGTATCTGCACCTGGCTTGTATCCTGACGGCTGCCATACTTACCTGCTGCTGCACCCACGGTCCTGCACCTGGCCTGCATTCTGGTCACTGCCATACTTACCTGCTGCTGCACCCACGGTCCTGCATCTGGCCTGCATTCTGGTGCCTGCCATACCTGCCTGCTGCCGCATCCACGCTCTTGTGTCCAGTCCCAGTCTGCATCCTGATTGCCGCCATACCTGCCTGATGCTGCACCTACATTCCTGCATCCGCACCTGGCCTGCATACGGATCTCCTGGGTCTTCACCTCTCTGCCGCCAGCTCCAGATCTACTCGTGCCACTCCTGGCTCAGCGCCCTGTTCCCACTATCAGGGGCTCCGAGTGGGAGTAGTAAGAGGACACCTCCTCTTCACGTCAGGCTCCCCAACCAGGTACGTGACAGTATGTGTGTATATCTGGCTGTGGAAAATCTCTCCAACCTCCTCACAGGCTCTGGCAGACAATGTGTGTGGAGGTTAGAGAGACACAGATTGGTTGGTGTAAACACGTCTTAGTTTGCTACTTTGTATATTGTTTTGTTCATAAGCACTGTATTCAGTTGGGATTATCCTATGTATTATTATTTCATATAGAGTGATTTTTAATGACTGCTTGCTTCATTTTTGATTATCAAACCCTGGTTATGTTATATGTTTGGCAGGAACACATAGGAGCAGTGAGGGGGACACAGTATATCCTATACATGGACTAAATATAAAAAAGAGCAATGACACCGTTTGCTACCAGGAAATGATAAAGATTTATGAATGGGGATCTCCAACTGCAGCCAGTCCAAAGGCCGGCCATACATTATAGGAGAGTAAGAACGGAACTGGCGCTTGGCGGGAACCACAAGTAGGGAGATCCTAGTGTGAATGCAGTGAAGGAAATGCTTATTTGCTCCCCTGCTGATTTTGAATGTTTGCCCCTCACAAAGAAATGATCGGTCTAAAAATCGAATGTTCGGTGTATTGTAACACTGAGAGACAGAATAGCAACAAAAAAATCAAAAGAAATGCGTCTAACAAATGATGACTGATTTGCATGATCATGAGGGAAATAAGGATTTGATCCCCTTCACAAAACATGACTTAGTACTTGGTGGCAAATCCCTTGTTGGCAATCACAGAGGTCCGACGTTTCCTGGAGTTGGCCCCCAGCTTGCACACATCTCAGGAGGGGTTTTGGCCCACTCCTCTTGGCAGATCCTCTCCAAGTCATTAAGGTTTGGTGGCTGACGTTTGGCAACTCGAACTTTCAACTCCCTCCACAGATTTTCAATCAAGGATTAAGGTCTGGAGACTGGCTGGCCACTCCAGGACCTTAATGTGCTTCTTCTTGAGCCACTCCTTTGTTGCCTTGACCGTGTGTTTGGGTCATTGTCATGCTGGAACACCCATCCATGACCCATTTTCAATGCCCTGGCTGAGGGAAGAAGGTTCTCACCCAAGATTTGACAGTACATTGCCCCATCCATCATCCCTTTGATGTGGTGCAGTTGTCCTGTCCCCTTAGCAAAAAAACACCCCCAAAGCAGAATGTTTCCACCACCATGTTTCACAGTTGGGATGGTGTTCTTGGGGCCATAGGCAGCATTCCTCCTCCTCCAAACACAGCGAGTTGAGTTAATGCCAAAGAGCTCGATTTTGGTCTCATCTGACCACAACACTTCCAACCAGTCCTCCTCTGCATCATTCAGATGTTCAGTGGCAGACTTCAGACGGGCCTGGATATGTGCTCTCTTGAGCAGAGGGACCTTGCGGGCACTGCAGGATTTCAGTCCTTGTCGGCGTAGTGTGTTACCAATTGTTTTTCTTGGTGACTGTGGTCCCAGCTGCCTGGAGATCATTGACAAGATCCTCACGTGTAGTTCTGGGATGATTCCTCACTGTTCTCATAACCATTGACACTCCACGAGGTGAGATCTTGCATGGTGCACCAGACCTAGGGAGACTGACACTTGTTTTGTGTTTCTTCCATTTGTGAATGATTGCACCAACTGTTGTCACCTTCTCACCAAGCTGCTTGGTGATAGTTTGGTAGCCCAGTCCAGCCTTGTGTAGGTCTACAATCTTGTCCCTGACATCCTTGGACAGCTCTTTGGTCTTTGACATGGTGGAGAGTTTGGAATCTGATGGTTTGATTGCTCCTGTGGACAGGTGTCTTTTATACAGGTAACAAAAATGAGATTAGCAGCACTCCCTTTAAGAGACTGCTTCTAATCTCAGCTTGTTACCTGTATGAAAGACACCTGGGAGCCAGAAATCCTGCTGAATGATAGGGGATCAAATACTTATTTCCCTCATGAACATGCAGATCAGTCATCATTTGTTAGACGCATTTCTGCTGAATTTGTTGTTGTATTCTGTCTCTCAGTGTTACAATACACCGAACATTCAATTTTTAGACCGATCATTTCTTTGTGAGGGGCGAACATTCAACATCAGCAGGGGATCAAATACACATTTCCTTCACTGTAAATGAAGCAAATACAATCACATACAGTACAGATAAAACATGACATCTTAGGCATAAAGTCCAAGAGTCCCAGATAGGCAATGACAGGGAAAGGCAGCTCCCCATAGAGTGAAGCAGTATTCTGCAGGAGATAAAATCGGACAGAAGGGGGCGCCAATCTGAGTGTAGAGGGTTAATACTTTAATGGTATTAAAAGGAGTAAAATCTGCTCACAAACATATGTAGTTAAAAGGCATGGTATAAAATCATCAAAAATCAAAGTTTTAGACAGGTGTGAAGAAATGGAGAATGTGTGCCGCTCAGTCTACAAGGGAAAGCAATCCTGTGTCCACCACTATGAGTGCAGGCCAGGGATGGACCTCATCTCAGCTCCAAGCAACTATTAGGCAAAGGATGGATCCCATGAAGCCACACATCTATGCAGACCCGCTGGTACTGGAATGAATGGCAGTCTCAGATCAGTTTCACTCCGCCCCTTAGAAGCTTAATTATTATCCCCCATGCTTAAGCTTCGAGGGGCGGAGTGAAATGCATCTGGGGCGTGG